GTCAGATGCTTGCAGCTGTTCATTCCATACTTGAGCTCATAACTGAGATTGTGAAGACAAAGCTAACCCAAGTACCATTGCAAGACTTTTGCTGGGTGTTTGATGATTGTTCAATTTATGGCTGTGACGAACATGTTCACACCATGTGTTCTAAATGGTTTCAACAAAACCTATTTTGTTGTCAACAAGAAGACCATCCCCACGTCCAGAGTCCCTCTTCGGTATAGGGTCGAGATGGCGGACTAGAGGAGGGGGGGGGGTGAACAGTCCTTTCTAAAATTAATCATGTTGGCTAACCATAACAAATATAGAATTAAAACTATCAGTCTAGCCAAGACTACACCCCTCTATCTAAGTTATCAAGCACCTTGAAAAGATCCTAAACAAGCAACCAAGGTGCCAGGCTAGCTAGAGCTCACCTAACCAATTCTAGGAGCGAGGTCACACAAACCTATGCCACTAGTACTTCAAGCATGGGGGAGCTCCTACACAACTAGTAAGCAAAAGCACAAAGCTCCTAAGCTCACTAGCAATGCACAATAACTAGGCAACTAATGCTAAATTAGAGAGCGCAAATTACTTAGCTACACAAACTAAGCAATGTGACTAACAAGGTTACTAAAACCAAATTAGCCACGCAAGGGAGCCACTTCTATGCTACACAAGCAAGAAGGTAACTAGCAAGCTACACAAGTAAACTAATTACAAGAGCAACTACACAAGCGCAATGTATATGAAAGTAAATACAAGCTTGTGTAATGGGGATGCAAACCAACAGGAAGATAAGGATGACACGGTGATTTTTCTCCCGAAGTTCACGTGCTTGCCAACATGCTAGTCCCCATTGTGTCGACCGCTCATTTGGTGGTTCGGCGGTTAATTGGCATCACCCGCCAAGCCCACACGTTGGGCACCGCAAGAACCTACCCCAAAAGTTAAGGTAGCTTAATGACATGCTCTACTAGAGTTGCTCTTCGTGATCCCTGCGGGGTGAGCACAATCCCCCTCACAAATCCCCCTCCGGAGCACCGCAATCTTCTCGCATGCTTCAACGGAGTCACAAGTCACCAAGCCATCTAGGAGGTGGCAACCTCCAAGAGTAACAAGCACCACTGGTTTGCAACACGATCACCTAGTGCCACTCAATGCAACCTCACGATGCATTCGCACTAGAGTCGCTCACTCACTCAATCGGATGAACACTATCAAGCAAAAGTGAGTTAGAGGGTTCCCAAGGACCACCACACAAGCCACCAAGGCTCTAGTGTGCTTAGCAAGTAGCCCAACGCCGGCCAATGGCTCTATTTATAACCCCACGAACAAATAGAGCCATTACCCCTTCACTGTGTTGAAAACACATTGACCGGACGTGCCTTTACTACTGATCATACGCACATGTCACCAGCGTCTGGTCACACCAAGGCTGCCACGGGTCCCTGCATTAGAACTAGCCACTGCTGCCAATGGCTAACTGATCCACGTGCTCTGTTAGTCACTAGACTGGACTCACTCTTCGGACGACCGGACTCACCGTGAGCTAGCGTCCGGTCAAGTCTAGAGACGATCCAGAGACGTCAAAACATGACCGAACGCGCCAGATCAGACATGACCGGACTTGCCCCGGAGTATGGTCCTTTTCTGCTGAAAACCCAGGTGACACCAAGACATGACTGGACGCTGTGAATAGTGTTCCAACAGAGTCTGGTCGAGGAACACCTCCATAGTCCGATCACCAAGCCGAGCCGCGCGTCCTCTGGAACACATGATCGGACGTTGATTTCATTGACCAGACACGCCCCTGCACAGAGTTCGATAGCCTCTAGCTGCTGCTCCAACTCTGTTCGTCAACAACCGGATGCGGTGGCCAGTGCATTCGGTCACTCTCTCACACACACAAAATCTCAACAAGAAATTCTTGCTGAGAAAGGAGAATTGCCGGTTGAGCTCAATTCTCTCTCACTGACACCTCGCTGACACGCATGCAAGCATGTCCCCTTCCACTATTTATCAACAAGAATTTCTTGTTGACAAAGGAGAATTGCTTGCTGAGAATAGCACCACTAAAATCACCTTTTTATGTGCTATTTCCTCTCCATTTTCAACACCCTTGCAAATGTACCAACACCACCAAGTGTACACTACTAACTACAAATGTGTTAGCATTTTCACAAACATTTTTCAAAGGATTAGACACTCAACTTGCCACGCCACTCGATCCTAGCAACGATGCAAAGTTAGAGCACTCGAGTGGCACTAGATGACCGATATGCAATTAAGTTTGCTCCTCTTGATAGTATGGCCATCTATCCTAAACCTGGTCATCAACTTCTCTACATGCCTATGACCAGTGAAATGAAATGCCCTAGGTTATACCTTTGCCTTGCGCATTCCATTCCATCTCCTTTGATGTTGATGCAACACATGCACTAACCAATCACCAAATGATATGATCCACTTCATATCATCACATGACCGTATTGGTTTATCGATCTTGACTTCACTTTCTCTTCACTGTTGCCTCGGTCCATTGGTGCCAAATCATCACTCAACTTACCCTTCACACTTGTAACCGGTCTGTCGAGCCAAGTCTTGTCTTAATCTTCTCCACCTTGATCACATGACTCCATGTCATGTCTCATATGCAATGAGCTCCTTCATCACATGTGTGAGCTTTGCAACAAATCCAAGCCATTTCACCTCATGGCATGTATTGCTCACACACATATACCTGTGGACTAATCACCTGTGTATCTCACTCAAACACATATTAGTCCACCTAGGTTGTCACACAATTACCAAAACCAAACAAGGACCTTTCATTCAGAATCTTTGCCATGTGGTATATACTTGGAACCAGTTATCCAAGTTTATTTGCTAGGACACGTTGCACTGCCAGCTAGGAACAACGGGCAGAGGACAATTGTTGATGGTGAAAGCCAAACATGCCCCACGGGAGACTTTCCATATCTGAAACTTGGAGCACACTTCTGGCCTCATGCCTCTTCTGAAGATTTGTCACCTGCTGTCAGGGGTTCAGCATCAGAGATAATCAGTGATGAAGCTAAACAACGTGGCATGTATCACATGGTGTATGCAAACATTTCCTTTGAACAGCTGGGAGAGATAATGATGCCAAAAGCAGTAGATTGCCTTGGCAGGAATGTGGCAGCTACCTTGTATCAGATGCTGTGGAAGTCCAAGCATGGCAGTGCCTTCATTCGGGTCGAGAAGACCTCATGGAGAGAATCCACTAGGAAAGACAAAGTTGGAAAATGTTGTAAGCAACGGAGCGAGAAGAAGGTTCCGGTTTAGGGATGGACAAGTGGTAACAATGAGTTCATTGGCTCATGGATTGAGCATGCGCCTGCTCTGTTGCAGGGCTCAGTCGTCGACTATTGGTTTCAGAAAGAGAAGCGATCAACACTACCGTTATTATTCAAAACTAATGGCTGCACCCATGATTGTCCAATCATGTTGTCGTCTTTGTAAGATCACAGATATTTGGCTAGGAAGCTCAAGTTGTCCTGCACGTTCAAACCCTAAAGGATTTCCAGTTGCTTGTACTACCTTGATGTACAAATAGAAAGTTCAACATATGGCGAAACGACAAAAACAAAAGTTGTAGATCTCTGAAAGTTATGCAACTTTATAGTTGACAACTTTTTCATTTGAAATTATTTATGCATGGAAAATCTACGTTTGAATTTCTCACATTTTAAATTTGAATTTTTCAAACAACATCAGATGGAGAAACGACCAAAACCAAAGTTGTGTATCTCAAAAGGTTATGCAACTATGTAGTTGACAACCTTTTTCATTTGAAATCATCTATACAGGGAAAATCTACGTTTGAATTTCTCACATTTGAAATTCAAATATTTCAAACGACCTCACATGGAGAAAGAACCAAAACAAAAGTTGTAGATCTCAAAAAAGTTATGAAACTTTGTAGTTGACAACTTTTTTATTTGAATTTGTTTAGAATCCAGAATACTTATGTGAAAATCAGATGAAGATAAAATGAGGACGGTAATCCCAAATAGATACAAGTGTGTCATGTTTGGAGTGGTTAGGGGATGAACATGCAAGGTCTGAGGTCGCGCACGTTTTTCACGCGAATAGTTGCTGGACTTGCTACAGTGCACGTGTGGCTGTCAGGTCTCCCGAGATTGAGTTTTTTTTCTATTTATTGGGCCCAAATTTCTTATTTATGGACAATAATTTCTAGAGGCATCAATTTCTAGAGGTGGCTGGAGAACCGTCTCAATAAATCGTTCATTCGTAGAGACGAAAGAGCAAAGGCGGCTGGGCCAACCGCCTCTATAGAGGCATCGGCCGCCTTTGAAGAGATTTTCTGAAGTAGTGACAAATAATAAATAGTTAAAATCATATATTTAACTGACAACTATAGCACAGGCGTTATATGACTCATGTAATAGTGATATTTTGAATATCATAGTGGTAGTATATTTTTTGGGTAACAACACGACACATGTACATACTTATATTCTACGTTTATTAGTCCACCGTCGACTAGATTGCTCGGTCCTGATCGCGATTTTGTTTGTGCTGTGATATGATCCGTACATCAGCCTCACTGCTACTTTGCCTTTACATCAGTTATTAATTGTCTTTTCCCTATATTCAAAGTCCTCCTGTGTTGTTATCAATCTTGATAAATTTCCACGATGTCCCTCTCGTAAACGTAGTACCTCTCAATATGTATGGTCACAACTGGCCGGCTGGGCAGGATAGATTCCCCAACTCTTCTGAGTTGCTGTGGTGTCAACTTTCTGAGACCCTACAGCTAGTGCAAGTGTTCAACCACGCGAGGTTTTGATTGCTCTCTGCACTTGCAGTTTACAGGATCAATCATAGATTTTAGACTGATGAACAGGGACAATCTGACTCATATATGTATGCAATATTTTGCTTTCTTTCCGTGCATGCAGGACAACGGATTCTACAGGTTGCTTTGATCAGTCTTAATGGCAGCAGAGATGGTCGGTTCTGCGGTGGCCCAGGAGGCTGTTAATGAAGTCTTATCAAGAATCAAAGAGGGTTATGCCGAGAAGTCAGATGCAAAGGAGCACATAGAGAGGATGGAGATGGCGCACATCAAGCTAGAAGCCGCCCTTGAGGCATCCAATAAGTGGAACATCACTAGCCCGCCACTACTGCGCTGGAGGAGCAAGCTCAAGCGTGCCACACAGGAGTGCGACCACACTTTGCGCCGGTGCAGGCAGCGATTGCAAGAAGAGGAAGAAGTGAAACAAGGGCTACAGAGCTCCTCCTTTCCTAAGAGGGTCTCTCATACTGCCATGTCATTTGTTTCGTCAATGTTTAGCAGCGGTAGTGGCGACGACAAGCTAAGAGGATCCACTGCCGTCCGGCGATTTGAGCGGTTTGCTGATGGTGCCAGCGAGTTCTTGAGGTACGTGGAGCTTGGTGGCACACCATGCAGAGATACATGTTCTCTGTGCCTCTTATACGCCATCTTCTCGCTCGCAAAGGAACAAAGGATTGCTTTGTTCGTGGGGGCCAACATCTCTCACTTACTCTACAGCCCTTTAGTCTACCCAACCATGGGATGGGGGCGAGCTTGGTATTCTTACTTGAAGATGGCAATACGCCAGAGAATAATTTCCTTCTTGCCCTCAGCTTACAGCTCTCTGAGAGTACTGACATAGTTGGGGTTGTAGTCAGATGCCTGCAGCTGTACAAACCGTGCCTTGAGCTTCATAGCGAGACTGTAAAGACAAAGCTGACCCAGATACCAATGCAAGACTTGTGTTGGGTGTTTGATGCTTATTCAGGTTATGGCTGTGATGAACAACAGAACAGTCTTGAAACCATGTGTTCTAAATGGTATCGACCAAACCCATTTTGCTGTCAACAACTAGAACATCTCCATGCCCAGAGCTCCTTTTCAAAATCATTGACATGTGATATATACATGGAAACAGTTATCCAAGTGTATTTGCTAGGACATGTTGCACTGTCAGTTGGGAACAATAGGCAGAGCGCAGTCATCGATGGCGAAAGCCAAACAAGCCCCACGAGAGACTTTCCATATCTGAAACTTGGAGCACACTTCGCCCCTCATGCCTCTTTTGAAGATTTGTCACCTACTGTTGGGGGTTCAGTGTCAGAGATAATCAACGATGGAGCCAAACATTGTGCCATGTATGCAAACATTTCCTTTGAACAGCTGGGCGAGATCACGATGCCAAAAGCAGTAGATTGCCTTAGTAGGAATCTGGAAGCTACCTCATATCAGATGTCGTGGAAGTCCAAGCATGGAAGCGCGTACCTTCGGGTCGAGAAGACCTCATGGAGAGCAACTACTAGGAAGGACAAAGTTGGAAAACGCTGTAAGCAACGGCCGGACAAGAAGGTTCCAGCTCAGGGATGGACAGGTGCTAACAGTGAGTTCATTGTTAGCTCGTGGGATGCGCACACGTCTGCCCAGTTGCAGGGCTCGATCGTTGACAGTTGGATTCAGAAACAAAAGCGATCCATACTACCGTTATTGAAAACTAATTCTTGCGTCCATGATTGTCCAATCATGATGTTGTTTTTGCAATATTACAGTTATTGGGCAAGGAAGCTCAAGATGTCCAGCACGTTAAACCCCTGAAGGATTTCCACTTGTTTGTACTACCTTGATGTACACAAAAAGTTCAACTGTTGGTGTGTGTTGCAAATATAAAATTATCTAGGTTTCACCTATAAATGTAATACGTACTCTATTCCAAATTATAAGGCATTTTCGAATTTCTAAATACATTGTTTTTACTATATATCTAGACATAGTGTATCATAACATTCCTCGGTCTTTTAAGGCTCGTGGGCTACGTTCGTTCCCGATGTGTGGCCGGTTTCTCGTGGGGCCGATCCACACATGTAAGTAATGTGAACATACACGACAAAGCGTACGGAGGGTTTCATGAGAGCCTATGCTGATCGTCTGATTCAAACATGGGCGAAGGATCTGCAAAGTATTTAAGTTGAGAGTACGAAGTTTATTCATAGTATGCTACTATAAAGTTTTAAATTATTAGTAAAAAGTTTTTTTAATTCACGTACTAGCCGATGATAACCAGGGAAAATATAAGATATGCGTGCAAATGGGTAAATGGGCCTACAACACCTGGGTCAGATGTGTAAAAGCGTGATCCGCTTCCCGGCCTGTGCGCTAGTAACTGAAACAGCCAACGTCCATTGGTTTCTGTCTACGTGCGAGCGACCATGTCAACCGCTCTTCGTGGCATGGCAATGCTCTACAGTCTGGAAATGCAAACTCTAACAGGCGATGGTCGCACGGTTGCAACACCATGTGACCATCATGCCAGCGCCGGTGGCGCCGCATCCGTCGAAGGCGAGTTAGGGTTTGGCCATCTTCCCCGGCTCTAGTTCTCTGGCGGCAGGTTGGCCTGGCGGTGGGTTGTGGTGGGTAGGCGGTGCTGCGAGATGGTGGAGCGCTACTGGCCTTGGTGGTAGAGGCGGCAGTTTTGGGGGGACAGGTGCGAGGGAGTCTCGTCAGTGACCAGTTGATGGAGGCGGCGAGAGGTTGGGCTTGACGGGCGGGGGCGGAGGGCGGGTGGTGCAGCGAGGCAGCATGTCGCTGGCAGCCGTGGGCAGTGGTGAGAGGCGGCAGAGGGCGGGATCGTGCACTCACGTGGGAGCGAGACCCGTCGTGCAATAACTCTGTCCTTCCGGAAATATCTCGCAGTTCTAGAGAGCCTCCATGCTCTTCGGTCTTCTCTTTTGAGTCTTCCTCACCCACAAGGCAGCGCCGTGGTTGCTTCCTTCCTCCCTCCCATCTCTCATGGTCACGGTAGCTTCCGCACAACGTTGCGCCTTACCATTATAAATCGCACACCAGTGGTGGAGTCAGAGCTAATAGGAAGAGGGCGGCAAATGAAGGTTTAGATCAGATATTCCTCAAATGAAGGACTACACTGCACTCACTACGAATCAATCTTTAATGGCATATGTATTATTTAGGACTCTTTTTGTTATATTTCTGATTTTCTTTGTTTTTACTATTATCATGATTTATTTCTAGTTCAAGAATTAGATTAATTGGATGAAGGCTAGAGACCTAAGGAAAATTAATTAATTTTGTTCCCCTTTTTTTGTTAAGTTTTTCAGCGGTCTTATGTATCATAACACAAATGTTTATTTAATTGTTGTCTATATTCTTTCCATGCATGCATTTCATTATGTATGATTATTGTTGTCAGCTTAAAGACCCTCCCCTATGCCCAAATTGGGGGCCCGGCCCTGCTTGTCGTGGACTCGTGGTAACCTACCCGTGACACTGGTATGCATGCCGTCGGGTTCGGGTTCTGCTTTTTGCTCCAAGCTTTCCAGCCAAGATTTCTACGTTTACTCACCGTCGACTTTGACTCCGGTTGGTCTTACGGACGAATAATTCTGGCCCATGTCTGACGCGTTCCTAGAGGTGTCTATATATCAATAAATTCTGGCGGTCTCCAAGATGTGATACATACGTCGACCTCAGTGCTTGTTGCCCTCTACTCCAAAGTCTTCAAAGTCTTCCTGTGTGCATATTCATCGCCACCAAGTGCGTGGTTGGCGGCGCAAACCTGTGTCGCCGGTGTCCTGGACGAGAAACAAGGCAACCGAGAGCAACAGGAAAATTAATCTTGTCCAACCGTCCTCTACCTTTCGTTAGTCGAAGAGTGACGCATCCAGAGTAGCCTGCGTATTCAAAAATTGAATCGTGTAATGTATGTGAATCACGTACTCTCCGGATCTCTACGTGGACCAACGGTGTCGTAGACGAAGTATGGACCGTGACCAGCGGAGCCTGGGAAGGTGCTGTCGCTGTTCCGACGCCGCCCCGGACCATCACCGCCTTAGCCATGGCATCAGCAATGGTGATCCACGGAGAAATTCGTCTCGGCAGAAGCGGCCCACGCCATGGTTTGCCCGTATCCCGCCGCCGGCCAATGATGACATCACTGACCGTCTGCTGCGCACCAGCAAAACCCGTCACACGACTTACCTCAGGGTTTGGAACTTAGACTTCAGATCATTTAGCAAGGCCAAAACTGCATCCTAGGAGGAGCTCGACACAATTATGTCATCAACCTCTGTACATCATCACTTACAGTTAGCTGGTATGCACTCTATGCCAACCTCAGAGTTTAATTTTACCCTCTACACAAAAGTCCTGCGTCCATATCACTCTCGACAAATTTCTGCGATGTCCCTCTCACAAGTAAAGTACCTCTCTATATTTTTTTTTTGCGAGGAAGTACCTCTCTATATGTACGATCACAATTCACAACTGCCTGGCTGAGCAGGATAGACTGTCGAGTGTCCTAGTGCTGGTACGACTTTCTGTGACACTACAGCTAGTTCAAGTGTTCAACTACGCCAGGTTTTGATTTCCTCTCCGCACTTGCACTTTACAAGATCGAATATAGATTTAAATCTGATGAGGAGGGACAATCTGGCTCATATATGTACTGAATAATTTTCTTCCTTTCTCTGCATACAGGACAACTGATTCTACAGCAGGTTTGTTTGATCAGCCTTAATGGCAGCAGAGATGGTCAGTTCTACAGTGGCCCAGGAGGCTGTTAACCAAGTCTTATCAAGACTCAAGGAGGGTTATCAGGAGAAGTCAGATGCAAAGGAGAGCATTGAGAGGATGGAGATGGAACACATTAAGATGTAGGCCGCCCTTGAGATCTCCAACAAGTGGAACGTCACCAGCGTGCCACTGCTGCGTTGGCGGAGCAAGCTCAAGCGCGCCTCACAGGAGTGTGACAACACTCTGCGCAGGTGTAGGCAGCACTTGCAAGAAGAGGAAGAAGTACAGCAAGCGGTAAGGAGCTCCTCCTTTCCGAAGACGATTGTTCATACTGCCATGTCATTTGTTTCATTAATCTTTAGTCACAGTAACGATGATGGGCTGAAAGGATCCACTGTCGCCAGGTGATTCGAACGGTTTGCAGAAGGTGCGAGCGAATTCTTGAGATACGTGGAGCTTGGTAGAACACCACACAGATACATGTTTTCCGACCCTCTTATATGCCATCTTATCGCTGGCAAAGGAACAAAGTATTGCTATGTTAGCAATGGTCAACATATCTCATTTCTTCTACAACCCCGTAGTCGCTGGCAAAGGAATGGCATGGGATGGAGGTTGGCCTAATATTGTTTTTTAACGAAACTGGAGGGGTTTGCACCCCTACAGCATTTATTGATAAAGAACAAGAACAGTACAAATACAAAGCAGCAAAGAGTACAAGGAGAAGCAGCAGGAGGGGGCAATTAAGATACAAAAAAGGAAACTAAGAAAAGCAGTATAAGCACTGCAAGCAACCAAGCTAGTTGAGATTTGCATTCCATTGATCGAGGCCTGGGGAGTAGCTTCTTTTCGCCCTTAGCATTAGTAGCTGGAGCTCAACTTTGAAATTCTACAAAGCTAAGAGAATACTTGGGTTTACTTGCCGAAAAATTAAATCATTTCTTGTTCTCCAGATGGTCCACGCCATTAAGATAATAACTTCCATGAAGAAAGGCACTATTAACTGATCTCTGAAACTTTGTAAGTTCTGAAAGGGGTCAGAATGCTGATTTGTCTGAATGTTAATCAAGCCCCAACACTGGGTGGCAAAAGGACATTCTAGAAAAAGATGTGACACTGATTCCTCCACAACAGCATTACAGAGCACACAATTGAAATCCTGCAGAGCCATGTTTTTCCTTCTCAACAGTTCTCTCGTGCTTATCCTGTCTTTCAGCAGAAGCCAAAATAAGACCTTACGCTTGCTCTGGCATGAGCAAGCCCACAGCCATTTGAAGGCTGGATGAACAACTTGGTGTCCACTCAAGTGTCTGTAAGTCTTTTTAATTGAGAATTTATTGGAGTTCCAAATGTAAACCCATTTATCTGAATCCCCATTTGTGTTGGTTTCATTCAATAATTCCTGGAGCATCAACATTTGGGCGTGTGCCTGCTGTGAGAGTGGCAGATGAAAGAGGCTGTGCAGAGGTGTTTGAGCACACCCATCAACAAACACTATTTGCTTGTTTTTTTTGCAAAAGAGAACAATTCTGGAAACTTCTGGTTCAGAATCTCATTGCCCCACAGGTCTTCTCAAAGAAAACAAGATGATCCATTTCCAATTTCCAGTCTTGCTATTCCTTTGAACTTGTTTAGCAGCTTAACTATACCCCTCCACTAGAAGGATCCCTTCTTAGATCTTCTAGGCAACTTCCCTGATCCATAGTACTTTTTCCCAAACTAATGACACCCATGGTATATCTTCCTTGTTGAAAAATTTGTGTAAATGTTTGATCAACATAGCTTCATTTTGGGTTTTCATGTTGAGAACTCCTAGCCCTCCCTCCTCCTTCTCTCTGTAGACAGTTGGCCAAGCTGCTTTGGGTTTCTGCCTTGCATTGAATTCGGCACCCCTCCATAAACATAATTTCCTGAACTTATCTATCTGGTCATTCACAGTTTGTTGGAGTAAGAATGTGTTCATACAAAATGTTGGCGTTGCAGTCAGGATATAATATGTGACGTCAAGCCTTCCTGCCTGATTTAGAAATACTGATGTTGCAGCCAGACTTCTCTCACATC